ATAAAGCCGGCATTAACACAAAATATGCAGTCGCTAAAATGATTTGCTATAATTAAAAAGAATTGAAGTGGTTTTCACTGATACTCGGTCAAAAGCTTGGCTATTTTCTTTTTCAACTTTTTCTTTCTTTACTTGCTTTGTAACTACTGCTCGAACTTTCTATTATCTTTCGTCTTTTCTTTTCTTGTTTTATCTTGGTCTACCTTAATTTATTATCAGGAATCCCCATTCTCTTTTTTTATTTCTTATAGAGAAAATAAAATGGAGAATATTTTTTTAAAATGTAGACACATTTTAAAAAAATATTCTCCATTTTATTTTACTCCTCTTGTTTTTTCGTTGTCCTTTTCTTTTTATCTTCGTTCTCTTCTTTTCTTATTTTTCCTATTCATTCGTTTCTCCTCTTTTTTGTTTCGTTTTTCTTCTGTTCTTCTTCGTCATATTTTTTCTTTTATGTCCTCTTCTTTTTTCTTTGTAAACTTCTTTTTCGCTCTCTTCTTTTCTTCTTCATATATTTTCGTTCTTTTTCGTTTTTTTTTTGGTGTCTTCTTTTCTTTCTTTGACGTGCTCTTTCTTTCTTTCTTTCTTTCTTATTAAGCCGCATTTTTCTTCTTCTTCATCATCCCTCTTTTCCTTCATTACATCCTCTTCTTCTCTTAGCTTTCTTATTTCTATTCCTTGTTGTCTTCATTTTTTTCATTCACTTTTCTACAATTTCCTCAACTTCTCCTTCAGTTTTCCTCCATTTTCCCCCCTTTTTTCTTTACACTCTTTCTTTTCTTTTTTGCCCTCCTCTTTCTATATTTATACTTTCTCTCTCTCGTATACACTTATTCTTAATTTCTTCCTTTATTTTATATTTCTTTTTTCTTTTTTTACTTAATTTTTCTCTCGTTTTAATTCTTTCTTTGCTTTATCGTTTGCATCAATGAAAGTAGCACAACAGCAACAATACATTGAAACCAAAACAGAAATGTTGACAGCAAAATACGCGAAAAACGCATCAATAAATCCGAAAATGTCAAGCAAAACGGATAAAAAAAAATGCAAGTGGTTTCAAACGAGTTAAGATCACTATCAGTTTTACGGACATGACAATACAATCTCTTAGCTTTGTTTTAGATGTCTATCAAGGCACAGAAAAGAGAAAATGAAAAAGGAGTAACCTAAATATCTGCACACTTAACGTCCCTTTCTCTTCTTTCCTTTTTCCCCACAAAAAAAACCCAACTCTTTTCATTATTTTATTTACCCTTTTTTAACTTTTTTCTTGAAATCGCCATCACCCACATGATTATTGGCTGTTGCCTTGTTGAAACCGTTGTCGCCATGATTTAAAAAAGAAATCAAAACAGAAGAAAAAGAATGCTCGAAAGAAAGCGAGTGGCACGCACGCATGCGCCGACGGAAGTTGACTGATGAAGTCGTTCTTTTATTGACGATTAAAATGATGCATCGCCGTTCGACATTCATCTTTATGATAAGATAACGAGGCTTTAATGGTCGGCCATTTTGCATTAAGGGAACGACCGGTAAAACAAAACACGACTAGCAAGAGTAACGCTTGTAGACCAAATCTAGTTTCCCTCACGCACGCACGTACACCTCTGAAATAAGTGTCCCTGAAGTTTTCTGTATTTCTAATATGGTATAAAATTTACTCAATGATTTTATGCACACACTCTCAGAAGCACACAAACACAATGGCATGCAAAGGCTCCTTCTGTTCTCTCCCTCCCTCTTTCTTTCCTTCTACGCTCATATGAAAGTAGTGTCCATAAATTATTGGACGCTGCTAATTTATAAAGCATAAAATTCACTCAACAATTTTATGCCCATTTCCAAGCACACAAAGCCCCGCAGATGCATTCTTTCTCTCTCTCTCTCTCTCTTTCTCAAACAATTTCATATCATCTTCTTTCTCTATTCTCTTCTTTCAAATATATATGACTTACCCGCTCGATGCCTGGCTATTAGGGCGGCTAGTTAATCCCTGTTGAAGTCAACATGCTCAGGCAAATTTTGTGTTTGTTCACCACCCACAAGAGCCAAATTGTAGTTTATACTGCAGCTATGTTGAGCGGAATTTCATTTTAGATTCGAGAGAGATGGATAGGGTGATAGTAGCCAGTACGACCAAACACTCAGTCACGATGACTTGCGACTTTGTTCTACCACAATCATCGCCGTTATCCGAACAGTTTCGTTTACTGAATTTCCCACACACGGCTTCTGTCAACCTGTTGTATGTTTTCCATGCGCTTCCCAACGGTACGACAATCTGGGGTCGTCTGTACAGGATGATGTTATCTTCACCTATTTTTTCATCCCAGACAAGATATTAAAGCGACTAAGACGCAAGGGGTTTGCTGTAAACTACAGCAAAGTTGTATTGATGTTTGGAGAAACACCTAAATGATAGCTCTCCGAGCCGTTACGGGGTTAATAGGCAAAGAAAGGAAATGAGACGAGAGGTAACAAAATTACACTGCCTCAGTAGGATCAGCAACTTTAGGAACAAAATGTTCACGAGGCCAATTTCATACGACACCGAAACTTGCCAGCTGCTAACTGCTGGGTTTCCCGTCGCTTTTATTGACAGGAAACGCTGTTAGAAATCCGGAGAGGCCCGTATATGAACACGCCAAGCCCTCCCGCTGCTTAAGGAGAAGATCCGGATGTAACTTGTTTTGATAGACATGTCTGCATGCTATCCGGGGTCTCCTTTGTGTCTGTACTAACCCGCGTTCGCCACAAGGTTCAGTCAGTCAGTTATGTGCCATGCGTGATACATGCTTAGGCGATCATGTGTCTTTCGATACATGAATGATAAGGCAGATTCTTTCTCCCGCAGTAGGTTGCTATTTCTTTCTGCGGTAGAGCAATTCCGATCCAAAGCTATAGAACCCGGTCTGTCCTGCTATTTATACATAGATGAGGGGGGGAGAAGAAGAGGATTCATACATTTCACAAGGGTTTTAGCTGGAATTTGAACTAGGCTCTCCAATTCCTCAAGTGAGAAAGAATAAAAGAAAAACATGATTAGAGAAAGAGAACAATAAAATTCGAATTAAGAAGATAACGATTGACATTGCATTTAAATTTTTTAAAGATCAATGTTGACTGGAAAGCAAGAAGCGTCCACGCTTTCGCATATATTGATCAGTTATTAATAAGTTGATAAATCCCCTGTTACCTAGACTTTATGCATTTAAGTGCAGCACTAGATTTTACAGTTGAAATGGTTAGATGTAATCGGAAGTTCTATACTCACAGATTCTTCTATCGCTTCTGGCCTTTTGATTCCCAGTTAATAAATCAAATCACACTTCATTTTATCCCTTGGTTTCTGCTTAGGATTTTCCGGTTTCTTCATCGAAATACTTCTCATTCACTTTAACTCCCCTTGTGTCTCAGCGGTTAGGGTGAAATAAATAAAATCAAATGAAGCAGGAATTAAGAAGTTGCTTGAAAGATTTCCGAATAAATTAAACATTTTGTGAACTTCATTTCCAGTTTTCTGCATTCCAGTCGATTTTCATCTTCAAAAAAATTAAATGCAATGTCAATCGTTATCTTCTGTCTTCTTAATCCGTGTTCTTTTATTGTTCTCTCTCACTAATAGTAACTTTTTTTTGTTATATTCTCTAACATTCGCTAACTCTTTGCGTCTTAGTGACTTTATTGCTTTGGTTGGGTAAGATGATTAAAAAAAAAAAGAAGAAAGCTAAATAAGTATGTAGCTACTATTAAATATAAAATACTTTATAAAATCCAAAGTTCCAAAGACGCGGGTCCATCTGTGTATATTTGACACCTTAAAGTCTAGAACAAGGTGTTTTTTTTTTTTTTTCGAAAGATGTATTTTTAGCAGAATCCTCTCAGCGTTAGGCGAGAAAGCTGTAAAAAAATACTCTGCCTTGTCACGAAGGATTCAAACACAATCGATTGTGTGAAATATCAATTTTTAACAAAATAAATAATTGTTTGAATCATAGATTATTATATATTGCTCAAATATTTTTAAAAAATGAGCCGCTGAATTTATTTTCGAGCTGGTTCCCAAAGGTGGACAACTGCTGGCGATTAGACTCGGAAAACGTTGTAATCAATATAAAGCAGACCGGTGAATAGTGAGAGTCGTATCGGGCTTCGATATCTAACTGCATCAGTCTTTGCCTAGTGGCTTTTGGAGGATAAGATCTTACAGAAATCCCGCAGCAGGATAGGTATCAGTTTGCTCACTATTGGTAGAATTCTACTATATATATATATATATAAATTATTTATATCCCCTGACGAGTGGACAGAGTGATTGGTGAAGGTTCCATCGGGATGATGAAGGTGGCAAACATTATATTTGTATTAATTATATATATTGTGACTAGTTTGAAATATAATTTTGTTGAGTGTGGTTTACTTAGTAGCTTGATGTAGATGACCTCCAATATCATAATTTTTTTTTACTGTGTATATGTGTAAGAATTATTATCAATTAATATCTGTCTAATATTATGTACATGGTTATGTTTTTCTGAAAAATGTTGTTTAATAGAACTAAGATCAGAAAGGTGACAAGTAAGTCTACGGGAGAGCGTGGTCTAATATTACGTACATGGTTATGTTTTTCTGAAAAATGTTGTTTAATAGAACTAAGATCAGAAAGGTGACAAGTAAGTCTACGGGAGAGCGTGGTTGTAGTAAAACCAATATATGTAGCAGGTTTATTATTAGCATCAGAGATACAATTGGTAGAGTTTACACACATACATACATATATATATATATATATATATATATATATATATATATATATATATATATATATATATTATTAATAATTACACATCTACCAACGTTTACAGTACGACTCAGAGTGTCATGGTTTACCCATTCATTAGGTACAAAAGTTATGAACTGTTCAGTACAGTTGTTAGTTTTAAAAGTTCTGGGTCTCATGGTAGCAATGCTACATTGTGTGAGAATTCAAAGTTTATGGATTTTTATAAATATAATATACTTCTGGGGTATAAATACAAAATATAGTTTGTTGATAGGTAGATATCGAAACATTTGATTAAATAAATTGTTATATAGTTATTTACTCACCCGTATGCCTATGTAATCGTTCTCATATATCATTGATTGTATCTCTTATCGATATATATATATATATATATATATATATATATATATATATATCTAAGATAGTTACATTGCATAATTGCCGATTTGACCCCTAACTACCACCAATCAGGATGAACAGAGGTCCTCACGGGTACGCACCGTGCCTTGAAAGACTGTTGGACTTCACCCGACCTCAAGTAGAACTCTTACATACGATCCATTGCTAAGGATGCCTCTAAAACTGTCGGCTCCCTGTGCTGCTCCAGTAAGTACCTGACTCCTGCTATGCTCTACCATTATAAGAGCCAGATCAGGCCAGCCTTGACAGATTTCAAAACCGTCTCCGAGCCCTTGTGGGTGACGAATTATTCTCCACCCTTCAACACCTCTCCCACAGTCGGGATGTGGCAAACCTTTCGCTGCTCTACCGCTACTTTCACAGAAAGTGCTCGGACGAACTGCATTCCTTG